TCTACTTCTTTTGCACAAGGCTCAGTGTGACAGAAGTAAATACAGTGGTTCCATCTGTTGTTTTCTGATGTTAATGCACAGTTGTTGAGGATGTAAGTCAAGGACTAGCTGGCAGGAAAGGGTATTCAGTGATTCTTTCTTCATTTGGACAGATATGGATTAATAATATAAAAATTTCTAAATGAAGGACAGAGAGAGAACATGGCTAGGTCTAGCAATGCAGCTCTTTTTAAGGATCTTACATCCTTGACATTTGGATTCCTTTCCAGGGGTCATCTGAGTGCAGGCACCTGTAATCCTTTCGTAGCAAAGAGGCTGCTGTGTGGGCTGTGCTACTGTTCCAAGCTGTAGACCTTGAGCGCATAGCACAGACATATGTATGCTGATTTCTCATGTTTGTGTTTACTCTGTTCTTGGCCAAGCAAATTCCATCAATACATCTTTGTTCCCTTATCTCAGCATCCCTCTGCTAGCAGGACCTCTCCACACAACACTTCATCACTATGGCTTAGCAATGACTTAGCATCTAGCATTAAGGATCAAGCTCACAGTAGTCTGCTTGTAAGTACTTTCAGCTCAGATTGGTGACACTTTCAAACTGTAGTTTATATGAAGATTATGTTTTATATTTATGAGCTCCCTCTGTGAGCAGGCAGTGGGACGTTGTACAGGGACCAACAACTTCCCACACCAGGCAGTAGGGAAGACTAAGTCCAAAAGGTGTCTAGCTGTCCACTGAAAGCAACAGCCATGAAGCCAGGCTTGCAAGTGGTGCCCTGAGCCTGAAAGCAGGGCTTCTAATGCCCCTTCCAGGGAACATCTAGCTGGTGAGTTGGCTTACCCTGGTGTCTGGCCTGGCTGCCCATTAGACAGCCATGCAAGGCAGCTGGAGGTAGTGATAGATTTACTGGAAGGATCAAGAAAAGACAGAAGGGTAAAAGAGACTTTACTTTCTGCCTACTCTTTATTCCCTTTCTTACACTCTCTACAGCTCCACCTCTCAGACAGTTGACACACACTCCAGATCAGAGTTGTAACCCACTCCTACCATGCATCAGGAAGGGGAGATGCAGTTGGAACTGTGCACATCCCAGAACAGACAAGGCCAAGCCTCTTCCAGTCACTGAGACATCTTTAAGAAGGTAAATGTTCTGTTCTCTCTGTTGGGCTCCCTGTTGAAAAATTCAAGGTTTCCATGCTCTTTTAGCAAAGACTGGCTGATATTACCCACTGTACTGTGCCACTCTGGGGGCTCTTGAAATGCTGAAGTGAACACTACATTTCAGTGGACCAGTGCCATTTATGAAGTTAGTGGATAGGACTAGCATGTGTAATGGCAGCACTTTCTTAACCAGTAGCCCCAGGCTGGGAAAGTAATTTCCAGGGAAAAAAAAAACCCAACCAAAAAATAGAGTAGAAACTTAGTGCTTCCAGGCTGGCAGCAAAAATCATTTATTGTGGGAAAGCTAAGCTTGAAACCACTAAACCCCAGTAATTTCCATCCACTCTCTCTTTCTCACACGCACAGAGGTACATGGAAAGAGATCTTTCCGAATTAATTTTCTTAAATATGTAAGGCATCCTGATACCAAAAGGAGCCCCTTGCACCCAGGGAGACTCTAGTGGAATGTCCCACAGACATGAATGCAGCTCATAGCAGTTTCTGGTTTTCAAAACAGCTGGTGTGACCAAACTGAATCCAGCTTTAAACAGGAGGAGGGCATTGGCAAAATGCTTTCAGTAACGAGGCCTTAAATCTTAGTTTATTCTCTGTACATAAGAGCTCTCATCTGCAAACCTTCTGGTCACACAACATGGCTTTTTATATTTCCCAGCTTTCTTTTATGTAGAGATTGATTAAAGCTATTCTGGGCTACGCTGTTATACCAGACATGCCACAGTTACATCTGAGTGTCCCCTGTTTATAGCAATGAGTCACGAAAGTAACGCTTTAAGTACTTATCCATGCTAGAACAGACATGCTAAAAACTGCTTAGATAGAATGCCATATAAATGTTTCACATATATAAATAACAATTATAAGTAAATAAAATATATAAAATATTAAGACAATTTTTCATAAAGCATGTTTCTGATGACCTGAATTCTAGTTCCATGGTCTGTATTTAACACAAAAGTACTTTTTTTCGTCAGTGGCTGTAAGAGGAGAGCTCGGTGCCTGAGCGTGGTTGCAGTCTGCCAGTAATAGAGCTATTTATATGTGGTTAGCACAGGTTTCTTTTTTAATGAAGTTTTTGCAGACTGAGCGACACCAAATAATAGAAATATGTAAGCAGAAAAACACGCAGTGAGCACAGGGAACTGGAACATGGTGTTTGCAGTGGTTAGAGACCAACTGCTAGAGAGTATTTCTGCTAAGGAAATATTTAGAAAAACATGTTTGTAGCTACAATAGCTGTAACTGGAAAGCACCACACAGTTTTGCACTGTGCAGAGAGTGCCACCCTCTGCTTCTGCAGGGTATGGAGCCTTTCTCTTACCCAACTCTTCCTCTTTTGCTGCTCCAGTTCTTTCTCACACATGGCTTACAGGAATACCCTGCAGGATGGGTAACTCTGCAAATGGTCTGTAATTCCCTGTTAATTTTAATTGTTAGCTCAGCTCTTTAAGTTGGAATTATATGCCTCTTTTTTGTTGTTGTTTTGTCAGAGCAAAATTTGCTTTCCCCTTTTAGGGGCAAGGCCCTGTGGGTTCTTGAAAAAAGACAATTCCTATTAAGGTCTGAGAGAGCTCACTTGGAGAGAAGGCGGCATGAAGCTCCTGCACACAGCCTACTTACAGGGTGAAAGAATGCTGCAGCCAACTGTGGTTAAAGGACTCATTTGTGGTACCCTCTGATTTTTATATCGGAAGAATAAAAGAGTGCTTTGCAAGAGGAACTTGGATAGACTTTGGGATAAGCCATAGGCACATTCTCTGCCAGAGACTGCAGTTTACACAAACAAGTCTCCTATAAATTTACTGGAATCCCTGCACTTAAAGGCCTAATTTGCGTTAGTGTTTGACAAATTTTCTGCGCTTCTAAACAACTACCACCACATTCTGTTGCGCTAAAACTTATGTTACTGATGATAGATATCTTTCAGTATGAAGGATTCTCTTTCTCACTCAGGCAGCCTGTTTAAGCATGTTGCAGCTTTGTGCCATGCTTGGGCAATAGTTCTCAACGAGTGGTTATTCCTGTAGGTGGGGGGCTTGGTTCCATGTGGCAGACTAATAAGTAAAAAGAGACATATTTTGGAGCTTGACCCAAGCAATAAATTGTCCTGGGATGGGATCAAAGTCAAGAAGTAAACATAGACAAGTACTCCAACTTAACAGCTGCATTAGTGACTCAACAGTTCTTGAGCTCTCTGTAAGAGGCTAAACTCCAACTTTTTATGTTCTTAAAAGAACACCAAAGCAACGGATTGAACGAAGATTAAGCATTCAAGTCTTCCTAACCATATGGTCCTTGACATCTTCTGTGGAGGAGTACCCAGCAAAGATCACTACTAAAGAATTTGAAAGACTGATTCATACACGTGAGTTCTCGGGGATTCCATTCAAATCTCATTCTGTTAACGTCCCTTTACTCAGCTCTCTTTTACCCATACAAATCCCACATATGATTTACAAGCTCAGTGCTGAACATGTACATCCAACCAAGGTCAAACTTTAGGCCACATCAGTACTGGGCCACAGCCTAGGATTGCCCACTCATACAGGTATCTGGCTCAGGTGCAGAACATAAGGAGGAGGCTGCTATTCTCTGGATCCAAGTATACTCTCCAGATACTTGTGCAGATCCCTTATTGGACTGTGCTTGTGGATCTGTGAACAGTAAAAGATGTTTCCTTCAGTAGAGCCTCTAAGGAGATTGCACTGAGGCACACACTATGTAGTTCTTCTTGATCAAACTCATTTAATCCCTATCTCTGATCATCGGGCTTGCTAGCTTCTCTCACGTCATGCATCTGCACTTGAAAATAGTCTTCTTCCTTAATTACTTTGTAATGTTCTCTTCCAAATCATGCCTCAAGGGCTACCTCTGCTTAATGTGAGAGGAAAACACCCAGTTACTGTCACCAGCAATGTGCCAGGAGCTCGGTCAACAGGTTTGCAATTTAAACAATTTAGACTTGCTGATGGTTTGGGTTTAACTATCTTCCTGACCTGTTGAACAGCCTCATGTTTTCTAGAGAAACAGCTTCATGGCTTCATATTCATATTAAGGATGATTTGGATAGGTTGATAAGAGACCTGGAAAAGTAAACTAGGTGTGTTTACCTGGCAATTATATTTGGAGTGACAATATGATGACTTTTTTTCTTGATGAAAAGAAAAATGTTCAGTTTTCTGAGCCGGCAGGCATCTATGTCACCTTCCATGTGTCTGGTTCTCCATGCCCATTTACTGAACAACATTCCAGTACAGACTCTAGCAGGGTTAGGAGTAAAATCTACCCAACTGATAAACTCTCAAGCAACCTCCAAATAACCCCAGTGCAACAAAATAAACTACTGTACTAATGGAAGCATCTAGAAAAGCAACATAAGCATAGGAGGAAGTCGTGGTGTGAAATACCACTCAGACCACCAGGTCCCAGTGCCCTGCAGGAATTCCGGGATGCCCCATGCCAGAAAGATACTGAAAACTTTTAATGACCTATTTGAGGAAAGGCCTACCGAGAACACTGTAAGCATCTTAACAGGACGTGCCATTGAACCCCCCTGACTAACCCAGCCAATGGTAACACTAATACAGGAATGTGAATGATCAGACAATGGAGGCTGCGAGGGGCACATCACTGTTATGCACAGGTGTAATTTCTAATATACGCACAGGCTAATTTTAACGTGTGCAAGCCGGCTGCCGCCAGTAAGCGCCCTCGGCTTGGTCCGGGCTCCGCCCCGCAGCGGGATCCCCTCAGCGTACACACGGCCCCACCGCCCCGGCAGCCCCCCGGGCTGAGGGGAGCCCGGCGAGAGCCGGGCGAGGTAAGGCGCTGCCCCTCCCTCCGCTCCCGGAAGGGTCCGTCCGGAAAACCCGCCGTCTCTGCAGCGAGCCCAGCGGCACCGGCCGGCTCCTCGCCTGCATCAGGACGCCAGGGCTCCCCGCCGAGGGGCGTGGGGCCCGGCTGGGCGGTGGCGGCTCGGCCGCGGGGCGGAAGGGTCCGCGCCGGGTCCGGCCCTCGGCAGCGGCGCCCGGCTGGCGGGGGAGAGAGAACCGCGTTGCACCGCCACGCCCTCCCCTCCCCTTCCCGGCGGAGGCAGCGCCACGTCTCGGGCAGGAGCCGGCGCCGGGCGGGCTGCCCCAGGTCTGCGGGGTCTCTCCGGGAAGGGTGGCCGCGGGGCGCGGCGGCGGCTGAGGCGCGGTGCCCGCAGGGGGTGGTCTTGAACGGCCCGGTGCTGCTTCAGGCCCGGGTGGGTGCGTTCGGGGGCCGTTTTCCTTCACTCCCAGCGGCCTGCCGGGGTGTGGGGAGCCGCCGGCCCGACCCGGCTCGGCTCGGCTCTGTGGGCTTCGACCCCGGGCCTTCGGGTGTCTTTGCCGGCGACCCAGAGAGGCACCTGGCCCCTGCCCAGGGACCCCTGGGCCGTGTCTCGCCGGGCGGCTCATCGATCTGTGACTGGGTTCTCTTGATTACTGGTGTTTTAAGCAAAATGAACTGTTTTCGTACAGTTCCTTTTCCTGTGAGGTTGTGGCTCGGTTCCTGTGGCATGCATACATCTGTGTGCTCAGCACAGAGATACACAAGGACTCTGAGGCCAGAGTACTTTGACCTTAATATTTGTGAATGAGTTGTGTAGGAGAAGGCTGTTCTTCGTGACCCTGATTATAAAAAGGTGTTTTATGGCAAAGATAACACACCGTCTGATGTTGGCTGGATTTTGGCAAGGTGTGAGCCGTCCAAATTGTACTTCCTTTGCTCTGTAATAACTCTTTGTGTCTTGTGTAGTATCTACTTGTTGTACAATGGCTGTTCTGTAAGCTGTATTATACTGAAAAGCTTTTAAAATCGATAGCAAATCTCAGTGAAGTTAGCAATCTTTTTGTTTGGCTGAGGCTTCTCTTTTGTAAGCGTGCTCCAGGTTTCTGGCTTCTTTTCAACTCACCTACATAAGGGTCACCTACATAACCATCGAGTCCTGTGTATCCTGAGCTGTTAGCAGCCTTAGTAATGGTTTGGAGATGAGTGGTGATGGTGTTGGGTGACCAGGGTACTTTGGTAAAATAGTTACACAAGTACTTTCTGCAGATACAGAAGGAATGTTGTTAAAAATATTTGTGTTCATGTAAAAACGCAGTTAAAATATTCCTGACTTGACACGCCCCCCTTCCCTCCCCTTTTTTCTTAACTGGGGATTTCTGTTTCGTTAGTAAACAGGAACCATAGCATCTTGTAATCTCAATTAAGCTAGCAGTAACTATTTGAACAAAATTTGAATACTTGAAATAACTGTGTACAACATCTTCTCTCACGTTCTATTAGTTGGCTGGGCTATACCCAAAGGTAACATCTGAATGTCTGGAGAGTCTTTTGCAAAGTCTGCAGGCTGTGTTTGGAAATCCTCCTCTTGACTGGCCGCAGGAGAAGGCAGTATTGAACTGCAGCCCAGGATCTGTTCTGACTGCCAGTACATGCTGGAATCAGTAGAGCAGCTCTGTACTGTGGTACATACTCATTGCTCTGCAGACAAGTAATGATGTAATTTAATTTAAAAAAATAATCTGAATTCCATACTGCATTGTAACTAAGTTATTGAAACTGAAGTTGGAGTAGGTCCTTGAAATAAAATACGTGATGTGAAAGTCCAGACTCTTTAATTTACAGAGCAAAATGCTACTCTGAATACTGGCTCCCTTATTAAAGCGGAGGCCAAAGAGGCATTTCCATTAAAAGAGGCACTGATCTTAAACCAGTTGTCTCACAGAATATTATCTTATTGCATCATTATACTGGTGTATCAATGCTACTTAAGAAAAGTTGTTAAAACAGATCACTCCATCTTCACAAAAGCTAGATACTTGATTGTATTTAATTGTCTCTGTTACTATCCCACGTCCTTGTTCAGTATGTTGAAGTTGGGTTGGTGCGTAATCTGTGAGCATGACTTTCTTTTTAACTCATTATTTTCCAAGCTCAAAGAAATGTTTGTGTATTTACTACATTTTGTTTCTAGAGGATGCAGCTCCTTGGTGATTACAACTTTGGCTGCAAGCTGTTTTCATGATCTCATGGAATTATCAGTTGCCTGCTGCACACCAACAGCTGTGAAGCTCAGAGCTGTGCTCCTGGGTAACATCTTGATGCTGTTGTTGCAGATGGAGAGAAACAGGACTTGGTAGTTCAATCGGAAGCAAATTATTCAGAAGCACTTTCCAGGGATCTGGATCGTTTTTACCATGGACTCATCTGTCCAGCAGGATGTTCATTTGGAGAACAGAAGCAATAATGGGGCCCCTAGCGGCTCTGAAGAACTTTTGGATTGTAAAGCCAAGTCAAATTCTCCAGTTACAGCAGATGAAATTAACAGTAAGTTATGTCATATGTATCAAATAACTTCCTAGTCTTATCTACAGTCATATGTTTTGTTGTTCAGCTGATGCTGAAAGATGTTTTTTTCCTTGGGGTCAGGAATTTCTTGTACAGCACTCTTGAGCAAGTTTGGTGAAGGCTATGGCTCTATCTATGGGAAAACCGTCTTTTGTTTTAAAACTTGATCTTTCAAAACGAAACTGTTAAGTACTGTTGGCTGCCATTTGAGTGTGTGTTGTACAGGGTGTTACTCTGTTTTCTGAGAGTGTTTCCAGGAGCATATACTTGAAATTCTCTAGAACTAACAGTTGTGAAATGGTTGTTATGGAGTAAGCTCATGATTGGAGTACTTTGTTCTGGCAAAAGAAAATTTCCTAATAAACTAAATTGATTAGGCAAAACCCAAAGTGTACTTAAAAAGTCTCCCTAAACTTCCATGTATGGAAGAAAGATGCTGGCAGGTACTCCCCAGATTATCTCAAAATAACTTTTATACGTAGACTAGCTCTGTAATAAAATAATTATGCAGGTATTTACAAAACACTTCAGAGGACACTGATCTGGGTAAATTATACAGCCAGACTTAGGTTGGAAGGGATCTGTGTGGGTTATCTAGTCTAACCTCAGGCACAGAGCAGACCTATTTCGAAGCTGGATGAAGCTGCTCAGGGCTTTGGCCTGTTGAATTCAACAGCCTTTCTATCCATTCCAGTACTTAGTTGCTTTCATTGTGGAAATGTTTTCTTTGCATTGAATTTAGATCTCCATGTCCCCACTTCAGGTATATAAGGATATGGTGGTATATGGGTGGAGGGAGTATTTATGTTGTGGCTGCCTAGATACGCAAAAGTACAGAGGTTCCATATATAAAAGAAGGGGATCATGTGATTAAGTTGTTAGTCCTGCACCCTCCTTTTGTACCACACATTTGTCATCTTGTCACAGGTAAGAAAGTAGAGGCCAAAGACTGTATTTGCATTTCTTACACTGCCCATTATCGGTCTGGCAGTGTGTAATTATATGATGATTCATTCATCTTTTATGAAGTTGGAGATAATTCATTCCTGTTTTCTCCTGTGCTGGACATCATCCAAACACTTGAATTGTGGCTTACAAATAGGTAGTGTGCCTTTTTACTGTTTTCAATCTAATTGCATCTCCTCCTCCACTGTTCTAAAAAGACTGCAGCTGTATTGACACTTCTGCAATTAAATTACTTCAAGGCAGCGTTTAGATTCTGAGTGTCTCATAGCCTGAGGAAGTTGCCAGGAAACCATTTTTCCAGCATTTTGCTCCAGCATCACTTTTCTATATGTACACCACTTACAGTTGTGAAAACAAAAATGTAAATAAAGTATAAACCTGATGCAGTAGTAGCTGCAGCTTCTGAAAGATGGGCAGAAACAATATTTATGAATGTGTGAGGTATCTTCTTATGTTTGGCTTCTTGTGGCTATTCTTAGCACTGATACCTGTTTTTAAATTTACTTTGGCAGTCTTTTGGTTTTAAAATGCCTTAAATTCTGACTTCAGTTAGTTACTAAAAAGACAGGCCTGTCCTCTGTCCTCTGTATCCTTGTTTCACCCATTCCTTCCATTGTGCCTGCAGGTGTTTTTGTGACCACATGGTGAACTAAATCAGAGAACTGATTCGAGCTAAAATGGCCTGAAAATGTTCTCTGCATGACAGATAAGATGCTCAAAAGTGCTTTAATTGAGATCTCAGAGAGCTGATGAGATTTGCCAACGTGAGGCTGGGAACTTTTTATTTTTACCCACATTCAGTTTCCTCGTTCCCTTTTCTCTGAGCTGGTTCACTGAACAGACATCTGTGCTGGCTTAGGGGAGGATGCACTGCAGAGGTGGGAACAAATGGTTAGGAGTGGAAATGTATCTTTTCTTTTTTAAACCACTCTGAAGTGAAATTTGACTGCACTTAAAAGGAAACCTTTTGCTTTCTTCAGTAACAAAAGGGAAGATAATTATGAAGCCCTACCTTCCTCCTGGTACCTTTTTTTCCATACAGCTTATTTAATTCTAGGATGCACTTTAATGTTCTCCACATACATGAAGGTTAATAGCTTTATTTTTTTATTATTCTGCTTTCAGGAGTTTGTAGTGATAAATTGTTATGGAGAGGGGAAAATCTAGTAGCAATATGTTAATGGACTGATCTAAATCAGTAATTGAAATTTTACTGAATTGTAACTGGCTTCCTGGCTACAAAGTATTTCTGCATACGAATCTTAGAAACACTTAGTTTTGGGAGGATTGGAGGCTTAGAGTTTGGGAGCTCCATATCCTGGGTTGCATTAAAAGGACCGTGATCAGCAGGTTGAAGAAGGTGATCCTGTTTGCTCTTGTGAGACCTCGCTTGGAGTATTGTGTACAGTTCTGGTGTCCTCAACATAAAAAGGACATGGAACTGTTGGAACAAGTCCAGAGGAGGGTCACGAGGATGATCAGGGGACGAGCACCTCCTATTTGAAGACAGGCTGAGAAAGTTGGGGCTGTTCAGCCTGGAGAAGAGAAGGCTGTGTGGAGACCTCATAGCAGCCTTCCAGTATATGAGGGGGGGCTATAGGGATGGTGGGGATGGACTATTCATTGGGGGTTGTAGTGACAGGACAAGGGGAATGGGTTAAAACTTAAACAGGGGAATTCTAGACTGGATACAAGACATTCTTTCCTGTTACGGTGGTGAGTCACTGGAATGGGTTGTCCAGGGAAGTTGTGAATGCTCCATCCCTGGCGATTTTCAGGGCCAGGTTGGAGAAAGCCTTGGGTGGCATGGTTTAGTGTGAGGTGTCCCCTGCCCATGGCGGGGGTGTTGGAACTAGATGATGTTAAAGTTCTTTCCAACCCTAACTATTCTATGATTCTGGGATCTGTTTCTCAGTTCTGGTTTGTTGTGGTGTTGGTTTTTTTTTCTGTCCTCCCCGCAACTTCTTTGAGCAGGCCTAAAAAAACCTGAAGTGCTTATTCGAGTCTGTAGCACTGACAGGAGGAAAAAATAGAAGGAGGAAATTTGGTTTTTCCACTTGCAAATACTTTGTGATCATAATGTTAAATATTTTTTATCAACTTTGTGAAACAGTAATGAAATCTTCCGTATTATTCCAACGTGTTCCAGTTACTCCAGTGATACATAGTGTGGGAATGAAAGGCAGTGACTATTTTGGTACTCTGCTTATTTGAGATCTATGATAATGCCTTTAAAGTTAGATACATGGTTTTGTTACAGCAGCAGTTTGTAGTCCCCAGCCAAGTGAAGTAGAAGTGTATGAGAGCTCCAAAATACAACTGGTTTTGAAGATGCATTTTTCCTGATGAAAAATAAAATCAAATATTAGTAAGTGGGGATAAAACTGGCATTAAAGTGGTTCTTTAATTGCCTTTTAATTGCTAGATTTATTGTTTTCCTACCTGAGAGCTTTGCTGCTGTGCTTTTGATCAAGATGCCCTATTTGAAAGCATGCGAACTTTGTTTAAAATTGAGGAACTCTGCTTGGCCCGGTCTGGAAGTGGGATGGTGGATGCTTTTTCCCCAGTGCCCAGTAGCATACCAAATAGCTGAATCATTCGGCAGAGACCCACAGTTGTCTTATTTGTAGTAGGGTGCCACTCAGTGTGACACAGATCACGTTACTTACACTTGGTGTTTCATGCTTCTAAACCTGATAAGATTTAAAAACCTGTGTGAGGTTTTGAAGATACTTTATGATCATTTTTTAGGTTCTGCTTGAAGGTAATGTAGTAAAGCAGATGAATGGTACTCTTGGTCTTTTAAAATGAAGAATAAGAAGTTTTGTGTGAAGTTTCTCCTGCGGTTGCTGTTAACAATTTCCTTATTCTTACAGACTGAAGGCAACAGTGTATTTGGGTGGAGGTGTGCAGATAAATTGAGTAGCTTAAAGTAGCTCAGTGAAACTTTCTTTTCCAGCTACCAGTGTTAACATCAATGAAGTGCCAAATGAAGAGGGAAGTCTGGAGATAAACTGCAAAGTGGATGCCTGCCAGAATGGGCCAGAGTCGCTCTCCCCTGACTCTCCTGTATCTTTTGACCCCACCAGCAGTGCACAGGGTCAAGAGTCATCCCCAGGTGTGACTGGTTTCCATGGCAGCCTAAGGAAGTCTCAGGGAACTAGTGCTGAGGGCATAGTTCTTAGAAAAGAAGCTTTGCAGTCTCTCAAACTAAGTCTTCCCATGCAAGAAACTGAATTGTGTAAGCATCTGTTTATGGTGGTGCCCCTGCTTTCTCTTGCTGCATAAAGCTTTTTACTCTGAGCCTGGCTCTAGACGTCTGTAACATCATTTAAGCTTGGACTAAACTTCGTTTTTGCAGTAAGCTTTCACTTTGAACTAAAGTTCATTTTCTTTCAGTAAACCACCCTCTGCTGCAGCTAAGGCACATGCCCTACTGTTTAAAAACTGTTCTTACGCTGGAGGGGAATTTATGCTTTCTGGGGCTGAAGCTATTCTAATCCTCTTGATTATTAGGAGTGACAAAATAACCAACAATACACACACCATCAGAACCAGGTGGTTTTAAGCTAAGTAATAAAGGAGGGAAGAGAAAAGCAATATAAAGGGGAGAAAAGGGAGAAGCCTTTATATTAAGGTGCCTATTGCTGCAGGAGTTTTCTGAAGTAAGATTTTAAAAGAAGCCTTAACTTCCAGAAAAGTTTAATGTGAGTTATCAAAGAGTAAGAAAATGTATCTAGGGAACATCTTTCTCTGACCTGCAGGGAGTTAGTAGACTGTGTAGGTCTTACTTAGTTTTATAATTTTAGTACTGTCATAAGTGCAGGACAGGTGAGATTAAATGACAGCTGTAGTTACATTCTTGCTGTTTAATCAGCTGTTTAATCACACAGCATTTACAAATGGAGCAAGGGAAACACACAGCCTTCATCAGTGCTTACACAAGAATTTATTAAAAGAGGCCATTCTGAGGTGCATGCTAATGGGCTTTCCTTGCATTCCTTGCTTAAGCATGAAGCATGTTGCTGATGGTAGAAGGGGCTTTTTCCTTTTGTATCAAATTTCCCTGCGTTGGAATTTTCTCTTTTGCTGTAAAGATCCCTTTCACTTACAGGCTCAGTAGAGTCTTCACTCCCATTGGACAAAGAAGAACAAATAAGACTTCAAGCCAGAAGACGGCTAGAAGAGCAGCTCAAACAATACAGAGTGAAGAGACATCAAGAAAGAGTGAGTACCGCAAGGCAGATCTAGATTCAGTATTAGGAAGGTTGAAAATGTTATCATTTCTGTGCTCTAAAGTACTGTTTTCTTTGCTTTAAATACTCAGTGGTTCTCTCAAATGTGAGAAAACATTTTTTTTCCTTCCGGACATGCAACCTCATCAGTAATGTACTGTTTTGCGCTACTTAAAAATGCACAAAACGGTACATTTGTGGAGGTTGAGGGATGAATCAAACCTAAGATTTAGGTAACCCAGATGTTCAATTTTCCTGTCATTTCAGTTAGCCTTTGGCGTCTACCTTGATTGTTTTCAACATGCATATACTGAATCTTGCTTGATTGCTGATGTAATTTACCTTGTTTATGAAATGATGCATGTATGTAATAATGTAAGAATTTACGAAATAAACAGTAATTTAGCGCTTTACATATTTTGCTGTTGAACTTAAGTATTTGATGCTAGTTCAAAGGTTATGTTCTGGAATTTAATACTGACTCTCTGCTTCTTCCAGTCGAATCAGTCTACATCCAGAAACCGGCCCTCCAGCACCCTAGATCCTGAGCTGATGTTAAATCCAGAAATCTTGCCAAGAGCTAGCACTGTAGCAATGACAAAAGAATACTCCTTTTTGCGGACCAGTGTCCCCAGGGGGCCAAAATTGGGTAGCCTGGGACTTCCAGCATCCTCAAAAGAGAGAAGAAGTTCAAAATGTAGGGCCAGTAAGATCCGGTCCTTGGCTGACTACAGAACTGAAGACTCAGGCTCTAGAAACACTATTGGGAATTTTGTGGCTACTGATTTACCTGGTGGCACTCTGAAGCAAAGCAGAAGCGGTCCAGCATCGGTTGTGTCTGAGATTAGTCTACCTTCTGACACAGATGATCGAATAGATAATTCCTCCTTGGCAGAAGACAGTGTTTCAGAGGTTGATGGGAGTGAAGTGGGAATGAGGCTGGATGGAAATGAGAGTGACAGCTCTACCTACAGCAGTGTGTCAGAAAAAGGGCTGTATAACAGTTTAGAGAATGCAGAAGGCAAACAGGGTATTCCATATACAGTAAATGGTCAGAAGATACATCCTGATGCAATGGGGCAATTTCCTTCCATCAGTGAGGTGCTGCAGGCTGCAGCAGTGGAGCATCAAGCCCAAGAGCAAGAAATTAATGGGGAAGTACGGAGTAGGAGAGACAGTATTTCTAGCAGGTAAGAAAGATCACCATACAGTGAGGCCATTGTTAGGCATTATACTCTCTTTAGGCAGCCTGTTACTCTTCTGCTAACTTTGGATCCAGGTTTAACTTACACTCATTGTGATAAAATCTGTTCTTAACTTAGGGATTCTGAAAGAAACTGAAAGGTCACCTCACTTGAGTACCTAAGTATCTTTAGAGAAAAGATCTTTCTGCCACTGACTGTCCTTTAAATGCACTGCTAGCAATTGCTTCTGTCTGCATTTACTTGTGAAGCAGGCATTCATTCACTGTATCCCTGATGTGGCATTGGTGTTTAAAGTCTGATTATGCAGACTTAACTGGCTCGGTGATATGTAATAGCATTCTATTCCTGATCTACACACATCTTTCAGACCTCAAATAGTTACGAAATGCTAAGAGTCTTGTCCTAGATGCTCTTACCTTCTTCAGCATTTAGAATGAGGTGTACTTAGTCTCACGAGCTTTTGTGTAGATGGTGGGTATTAAACTATGATTCAGCAAGCAAGTGGACAACTGCTGAAGCCCTTATCAATTGTCTGTAGCTGCCTGCTTTATACATGCTAATTTTGAAATTACTTTTTTTTTCTGCATTGGAATAAAGCATAATGCCCTGAGATGTTAATGTGAAATCTGTTGTTGACAATTATTCTAGCTTAGACTTAATTCTTACTGTAATGAGAGATCTTTTTCTCTAGATTCCTTGGCTGTACGTCAGGAAAGAACCGTAAGGAATCCCTACCAAATACCTGTTCTTCCTTCATTTGCAGCAGCTGTTGGTATTTCTCAGCCACTTTCACATTAACTCAGCAATTGCAGACAGTAGCTGTGGAGGATTTGTGCCCCTATTATGTCCATTTGTCTGCTTATAATGGGGTGTGCAGTTAGAAAATATAATGAAGTCAACCACTGCACTTCTGTAAAATAACAAGTACGTGGGTGCTACACTAGATTTTAGTTGCTGCAAATGTAAGAAACTAATGTATAAACACTTAGCATGAATATGACTTCTTTATCTTTTTGGATGGTAATCAAGGTTGTTTTGCTGTATTCTGGATCCATCATAGAGCCAGAAAAAAATGTCCTAAATTGTAGGTCACATATAGTGTTTAAGTACCTTTTAATTTCAGCTTCATTTCAAGCAGAAGAGTGTTGTATTCTAACCCTTTAACTGTGTATTTGCTGTCTCTGTCTCCAGTGTTTCTATGGAAAGCTCTGTCACGGGAGCTCATGATGAAATGTTGCAGGTTCTGAAGGAGAAGATGAGACTTGAAGGGCAGCTAGAAGCACTCTCACTAGAAGCTAATCAGGTAGAAAATGAATTTGAATGTATTTAGCAAATTATATCAATATGTTAATTTTCAAGATCCTTGTACTCATTACTTGTGGGGGTTTTGTTTTGTAAAAACGATGTTGAATATGGTACTTTACAAGGACACCGGGTGTCACTAAGGCTGCTGTATTGCTGCCCTCCTTAGCTGGAAAGGGAGAGGAAAAAATATGACAAAAGGCTCATGGGTTCAGATGAGGACAGGGAGATTACTGAGCAATTACTGTCACAGGAAAAACAGACTATACTTGGGGAAACTAATTGAATTTGTTACCAATCAAACCAGAGTAGGATAATGAGAAATAAACTCAAATCTTAAAAACACCTTCTCTCCACCCCTCTCAAGTTCCCTGGGCTCAACTTTGCACCTGATTTGCCCACTTCCTTCCCTCCCCAGCAGTGAAGGGGCATTGTCAGTTCATCATGTTGTTTCTGCTGCTCCTTCATCCTCAGCAAAGAGGACTCCTCACACTCTTCCCATGCTCCAGCATGGACCTCCGTGTGCTGCAGGGGCACAGTCTGCCTCACCATGGGCTGGCAGGGGAATCTCTGCTCCAGAGCCTGGAACAGCTCCTCCTCCTCCTTCACCAACCTTGGTGTCTGCAGAACCCTTCCTCTCACATATTCTCAGTCACCTCTCTGCCACTGTTCTTTTGCAGTTTGGGGTTTTTTTTCCCTTTTCAGCATATGTTATTTCAGGGGCACTACAGTATGCTGATGGGCTCAGCCTGGCCAGCAGCATGTCTGTCTTGGGGCTGGGTGGTGTTGACTCCATCAGATGTAGAAGCTGTGTGTTTTTTTGTTTAAAGTCATGTTAGGAGATGATAAAGCTGGAATAATGGTAGCAGTGTCTATAAAGCTGTATTTTTCTCTTTGCATTGATTGATGTTATATCATGTATAATATATTCTTCCTTACAGTGCAGAAAAGTGTCTTAGTAAAAGTTCTGACATGGTTACTGATGTATAACGGTACATATCTTGTCTGTGCTTTCCTCTGTATTTTCTTTGATTACTTGAAATAGCTGTTAGGTGAGATGTAAAAAAGAATTTTTTATAAGCAAGTGGTCTTTGCCGTAGCAAAGCCATTTTGTAGGGCAGCTTCTTTAATCAGCTGCTATTGTATTTTCTCTTAAGACTTCTGTATTTTGGTTTTTCTGGACACACTCAGGCTCTCAAAGAGAAGACTGAGCTACAAGCCCAACTTGCAGCTCTGAACATGAAGCTTCAAGCACAGATGGAGCACAGCCAAAATAGCCAGCAGAAGCAGGAATCTCTGAGCTCAGAAGTGGCCACATTAAAGCAGTCTTGCTGGGATCTGGAACGAGCTATGGCTGACCTGCAAAATGCCTTGGAAGCAAAGAATGCTAGTTTGGCTTCTTCAAATAATGATTTGCAGTTAGCGGAGGAGCAGTACCAAAGGCTCCTGCTGAAGGTTGAAGATATGCAAAAAAATGTTCTCACCAGAGACAGCACAGGTGGGATGATGTATATGTCAATCTTCAAAAGTTGTTATTCCATAAATAATTTTATTTCGGCATAATTCTGAAGCCCAGGAAGAAGGGATTTTAATCTGTTTCATTGATGTCATACTAATATAATGGTTTGAATTTTAAGATGGGTTTTATTTTGTGTCACAGATCAGTTTGCAAGCTGCCACTGCCAGCTTGGAGAAGGAGTTACAGCTATTTAGTCTAGTAACTGTCTGACAGTGGACTAAGGGGTTTTGGAGAATTGTATACATACTGGCTTATAATGATGGCTGTACATGTCAGGATACCTGCTGCTTCCTGATTTTTCATGAGTTTGTATTTTCTGCCTCTGAGGAGCTATGAATGCTTACAGAAGTGATTCACTTATTCTGCTAATGACTCGATACTTTGGATTCTAGCACTTCACCTCACTTTTGTAGGAAAAGCCAATCCTTATGTAATTAGGCATGTATCTTTGTGTTCAAAAAGGAATGAAAAAAAAAAAAAGAAAAAGCTATGGATGTGGCAATAATCCTTGAAAATGTGTAAAACTACAACAGTGGAGTTTGCAAGTCCAAGTTCCTTATTTTTCTTCTTCCAGTTCATGATCTAAGACAGCAGATGGCTTCCTTACAGAACCAGCTTCAGAAGGTGCAGCTGGAACGGACCACACTGACCAATAAGCTAAAGGCATCTGAAACAGAAATCACATCGCTCCAAAATGTGCGGCAGTGGTACCAGCAGCAGCTTGTACTAGCACAGGAGGCCCGTGTCAGGCTGCAGAGCGAGATGGCCAATATACAGGTATTATGATTTACTTGCATATGGGAGGACTGAGAATCTTTTTATGTTAATTTTAGCCAGAGGACATTGTTTATGAGCTCGGACAAGGGAGCCAGTATCACTTGTATATTCTGCAGCTGGAGAGCAGGGGGAGATGGTGATTTGTTTTCATCATGAGGTGTTAATTCACGTTAATGCTGAGGGATAAATTTGATGAAAGTACTTACCTTCTGTGGATGAAGCTCTTAAGTGCCATGAAAGTGGCACTTGGTGAGATAAAGCACAGGTAGATTCAGTGTAACTTTTCTAAAACTTAAAGTTTTTGGCTAAATTCTGACTGTTCGTATTAATCTGTGATTTTCCATTTTTTATTTTTTTTTTGTTATTCCCTTAAGGCTGGGCAAATGACCCAAGCAGGTATGTTGGAACATCTCAAACTAGAGAATGTGGCACTGTCTCAACAGCTGACTGAAACCCAGCACAGATCCATTAAAGAAAAGGAACGTATTGCAGCACAGCTGCAAAATATTGAGGTATGGTTGTAGGTGGTCTTCAATGATTATATTCTGTCTGGGTTTCATATTTTAGGTTTTGCAAACTCAAGGCTATTCTAGCAAAGTAGCGTAGCATTCTTATAAATTGATTCAAATATTGTATTATACAAACAGTAAACGTTTTGGAGCAAATGAATTTCATGACATTACGAACAGTAAGAAGGAGTAAGGTCATATGTTTCCCATTTCAAGGTGATACTTGCATTTTCAGCTCTGATACATTGTTTTAATTGAAATTTAAAGGTGGATGTAAATATTCTCTTTTGCCCATCCATGAACATTTTCAAGAGAAAACTTAATTGGAAGTTAAGCCAAGTCAGTAAAGTGCTTCTTAAGTGTGTGAAATTGCTCAGTACTTTTTTGAAAGGAAGGTTTGTCCTTCCTACCCTCCAGTAAGGAAAGATGGGTACATTTTGAAATTGAAATTGCAATATACTTACTTTAAAAGCACTTAGAACCTTAAATCCCATTGAATTCCAGTGACATTCCTGCTTTGAAGTCCAAAAGGGCAGTAAAGCAGCAGGTTAATGGAAGCACCCTATTTCTGTGTGCAGTTGCATACATGACAGGAATTGCAATTTCATGGAGTACCTACACCTCCGAGAAATCTCTTTTGTTTCAGAATTTTTCCAAACAGCTTAATTTTAATAAAGATTCTTCTTCTTTACATCTTGTTTCATCTATTGAGAAAGGCCATGGTGTTATTTAAGAAGAATTCTGATTGTCACAAATATACAGGACATTCACTGTTATTCTAAGGTGTCTTAAGTATATGAATGGGTGATGTCAGTAAAGACATACAGGTGAATAAGACGGACATCAGAATTATCTTTGTTTGTGTCTTTTCTCTTAAAATTTTCTTGACAATTTACCACCTCCTTTTGTTTTTTTTTGTCTCTCTGCCCCTCCCTCTCTGTTAACATTTTAGAAGTTGATTCTTTGCTTTTTCTGTGCAGGCTGACATGTTAGATCAGGAAGCTGCCTTCATGCAGATTCAGGAGGCTAAAACCATGGTGGAAGAAGACTTGCAGAGAAAACTAGAGGAGTTTGAGGATGAAAAAGAACAGCTTCAGAAAATGGCTGATTCTGCAGCAACACTGGAGCAAGAATTGGAGCAGGTAGACTGTTGTTAAGCAACTTCTCAAGGGTTTCAAGGGGATTACTTATTTGGCTGAAAAGGCAATAGTAAATAGATAGTGGGCTCTAAAGTTATTTTAAAACCTGAAAGATTGCTGCAGAAATGAAGTCCATATCAAAGTCACTCTGTCCCAGATGAAAAGGCTCTCCTTTTCTTTCAGCTGTCTCAGGAACAGTACTTCTAAATTTCAAAGCTACTGTCTTGTAGATGCTGGTTGTTTGTTTTTTTTTGTAAGTTCAGTATGTGATTAAGTGTAGACAAGAAGCACATATCCATGTTCAAAGTTGTTAGGCAATCAGGCTATCATTATATATACTTACGGTGTAATAAATCTGCACTTTGCTTCTGCTTTAACCTTGTAACATACAAAGGCATGTCAAGGGCTGGAATGAGATAAAGTAAATGATAGTTCAGTATTATATTCCATGTAATTATGGCATTATCATAATAACACTAATTTTACCTTGTATATCTACACATTTCAAATAACAATTTAGAATACTGCGAATCTTCCTTCAGAATATTGTAAGTTTGTCATCCTGGTCATTGCTTAGCCTGTAAAGTTAGAGATGCTGCAGGAGTTAATAGATGTAATTAATAGAGAAATAAAAGAAGTGGCCTAGGAAAGTTCTGATATTTTTTTTCCCTAGAAGCTAAAATACTCTATTTTGATTGGAGTGCATTTGCAAAGATAGCTTTCATTTTGTTTGAATTTAATCTTAAGATACTACTTTTTAGGTCAAGTTGACTTTGCATCAGCGAGATTTGCAGCTTGAATCTTTACAGCAAGAACACTTAGACCTGATGAAGCAATTCACTCTGATCCAAGAGACATTGCACACCAAAGAGCAGTCCCTGGATGACCTGCAAACGCAGTATGATGAACTGAAGGCTAGATTAGAAGAGTTCCAAAGTGATGCTACTTCTAAAGATGACATGATTCAGTATTTACAGAATGAGAAGATTGTCTTGGAAGTAGCTCTGCAGGCAGCAAACGCAAGCAAAGAGCAACTTGATAAAGGAGCGGCACGCCTTGGAGAAGACACAGAAGTAGCATCACAAGTCTTGGAACAAATGAGGCAAGAAATGGCAATCAAGTCAAGCCAGGTAATGAAACCCTAAAAGTAGCTCATTTAAAGTAGCTGTTGCAGGGAAGTATTGCCACCGGCACGTGATAGACCCAGTTACAGGAGAGGAGATTGGTACACGTGTAGTTGAAAGATTCGGCTAGAGGGAATATTTTGATCAATTCTGTCACTTTTGCCTGTTGGCAGACAATCTGGTGTAACTTTACATCCTGTTATGTCATTGGTGAGCTTACAGTTAATATCTCTTGGTATGTATGTGCACTTACATATTTGTGTGGTATGGAAGCTGAGATTAATTGATCTTATTCTGTCTGCTTCCAGGAGCCACCATCTTTCCAGAATCTGCCAGTTTTAAAAAGCAATACCATTTAAGTATTGATCAGTTTTTAAAGTAATTTTTTTTTGTGTGTTGCTTTTCTGTGTACTGTGGGCCAGATATCTCTTTATGCGGTAATTTGGTCATGCATAGTTGTGCCTTTTCTCTTGAAACCATATACTAGGGTTTGCTTTTGCATATTGTATACCAAGACTTTTTTCCTAGTCATGAACTGTTTTACAAGATCAGGCCTAATGCATGTCCTTATTTTTTGTGGCTGCTTTAAGTTATGGTAACTCTCACAACGTAGTTTTATAGGCATGTATGCTCTATCTTTTAGAGCATCGAAGCTCCATAGGAAGAGCTTTCTTATTGATTATTGGTAATGGTGAGTTCCTGGGAATCTTTAGAGATTCTTTTGAATATAATAATGGGACTTGTTAGTAGCACCAATAAAAGTACTAAAGAACTATGGAAGTATATTTAACATAAAGATTGCTTTTCTTTCAAAGAACCTGTATGTGCGAACAGGTTCCATCCAGATGCAACATTTATACTGATGATGCATACTTAAACTTTAATGGCAGGATTAGGGGACTTGTATATTCCTGAGAGTTGACAAGGCTCACTATGCGGTAACCTGTGTGAATATATTTCTATATAAAATGTGTTATCTAACAGTGCCACTGAGATGCCTCACCAGAAAAGAGATTTCTCATTAGATTAAGTAATTGGTATGAGTATAGCAAAAGATATGTCACTGAAGAAGTAATGTAGCATATGACATTTGGCATGTAAACCAACATGCTTGCTTTTTTTCTCCCCTCTGGCAGGTAGAAAATCTACAACAGGAAAATACCAGCCTTAAAAAACAGGTTCAAAAAGTGAAGGAGCAGTTCCTGCAGCAGAAGGTAATCAAAAGCAAACCTTTTCAAAGAAATAAATCCAAGGAATATACTTTTTTTCCTTCTTAATCCAGTGAAGGCGTGTACTTTTGAGGGGTTTGTGAAGACGCTTAAATCCATCTTCTGTGTCAAATAACTTTGTGACATAATTATAGTTTCTATATTTTGTACAGTTTAATTTTTATCTGTAACTAATGTAAAAGCAGATCCAGCAGTGAATTTATGCTTTTGTTGAACTCCAGGGAGTTTGTCAAATGATCCAACATATAAAAATATCTCTCTTTTTTTTTATGAGATTTGATTTTGCAAAAGCATCTATGAAAATCTTGAAGTGCCATTGTTTTCCTACAGCTTTGAAAAAAAAATAGTTGCTTCGGTAATTAGATGGAAAATAAGTGCTTTATTGCAAATTTTACTCTGAATTTACACAGTTCTGAAACAGTAATTTGAAATTGGTATGTCATTAGCATTGCATATATGTGTCTTTTTTTATAGGCTGGCACCATTAATTTATTGCTTGATTGTTTATTAACCTAGTGTGAAAGGCTGTTTTAACTTGCTGGGTTTAAGTTTGGGAAGACTGTTTAAACTGTCATTCACAGTTAAGCTCACTTCTCATGGCAAAAGTTACTACTTATGTACATAGAATAGTTAATTTTTTACAGTTAGTTTAGTTTAAGAGAACAGCACACCAGTTGTGCAGTTCTATAAAGAATGTGAAAAAGAGTATCCCATATTGCTATAAAAACTTTTACTCAGACGTCTGGGGTATTTTTTTGTGAACTACTGATATATAGTGGTATTTTATATCAGAGCTTACATTAAAGGCTTTGAGCCAGAGTAAATATGTTACAGATGATGATGCTGGTTTGTATTCTTTGACATACATCCCACATCCCCTCCAAACTAAAAGAATATCTGTAAATACCTTATAGTAACTTACTCTTAAATTTGTAAAGCTGTAACAGAGGTGACATTGTCCTCTTGAATCTGTTGTGTCCAAGGTAATGGTGGAAGCTTATCGAAGAGATGCAAGTTCTAAGGACCAGCTGATTAGTGAACTGAAAGCTACAAAGAAGCGATTGGACTCAGAAGTGAAAGAGTTAAAACGAGAGCTACTGAAAGTTCAAGTTGAAAAACAGTCACTTGAATCTGAACATTCAAAACTACAGAAGGAAGTATCTCAGGTTCACCAGCAGATGGTGGAAATAGAAAATCAGCTTCAGTCAGTGCAGAAAGAACGAGATGAAATGGAAACACGCCTACAGGTATGGAAGGTGTTAAGCTTTGGACTTTGGGAGTGTTAGATTCAGGAATATAACACATATATGTTGATACTTCTGTTAACTTTGGAAATAAACAGAATGACCATCTGCAAGTTAAGATTCCTGGCTACGTATTTAATACTGTCTACACGTTTGAGCATAAACCTAGCAAAATTCTGTAAATACATGACTGCTTATTAACATCCATGTAAGTAAGTGGGGAGAAGCATGCTACAGGTGTGGCAGACGTGTGATGTGGAAGCAGTTTCCTTGGTCCCAAAGTGAACTCCATTTGAGAGCAAAGACCAAACTAGAACTCTATTCATACATGTTGCGATGATGGCCACAGAGGGAAGAATTAAAAGCAGGAATAAAAGGGAAATAAAAAGGAGATGGAGAACCTTGAAGAAATTTTCGTATTTAGAAATGGAAATAATTCTGAAATTTTATGCTTATTCTTTTCTAATCCAGCATACAGCAAACATGCTTTTGTTTTTACTGTGATGGATGCTTTTTTCCTTCCTATTAAGTCTTTGCAGTTCGATAAGGAACAAATGGCATCTCTTGCTGAGGCAAATCGGGCATTAAAACAACAAGTAGAACAAATGCAAGAAGAAGCAAAAAAGTAAGTGTTCATTTAGCACAGACAAAAGAACTGCATTTGTTTTTCATAGTTACCTTTTTAGCAATCATTCTTTTCCTGTTCCCTAGTTTTTCCTTTTGGGAAATTTAATTAGTCATAGAATCATATCCATTGCAAAGTGTTGGTTGCATGCTGCACAGGAGTTGCGGCTGCTCCTCTGATTTACTTAAGCTTTTAACCAGCAATTTCTGCTGTGCATATTGGAGCTAATCCTAATTACCATTCACTGACTTTTAGCCTTGACTGGCTAGAACGTTGACATTAATAAGAACCATTGGTTTGGTTTTTTTTCCACTGGTGATCACAGGGTTTTAGGATATCTGGTAGGATTCTTACTCTAAATTCTGTTATTTTTAGAGAGAGTAGTACATGTTCCTTCATATTGGAGTTTTAGTAATTATGACAAAACTCTCAATACTCTGTTTTCTTAGAATGTTAGTCTTCAAGGTATGGTGTTGCAGAGGGCCAGATTGTACCTTAGCAACCTAATGGCTTTCTCTGATAAGGTGGGCAACTCTGGGACAAGGGGAGAGAGGTGGATGTTGGTTTTTGTTAGATTATGTGAAGAATTAATCCTTTAGTACTGTTTTCAGGCAGTTTTAACCTGATGTTTTATTTTTCCTTTCACTCTAGGGCCATTACTGAGCAGAAGCAGAAGATGAAGCGTCTAGGGTCAGATCTGACGAGTGCTCAGAAAGAGATGAAAGCAAAACATAAAGCCTATGAGAATGCAGTTGGCATTCTTAGTCGTCGGCTGCAGGAATCTCTGGCTGCAAAGGAATCTGCTGAAGCAGAGCTGAGCAAACTAAAAACACAAATCACTGATGGTGGAAACAACCAGATTGCCCAAGTATGCAGATACCTTTTAACACTTGTTTAGTACAAGGACAGAGCTATCTTGGTATTAAATTAAAGTCTTGAAATATTATTTTACAGTGAAGTGATTGAAAGTATTTGGAATATAAAGCTAGATAAGAATATGGTATCAGTGTTCTGAGCACTGAGCATTTCCTTAACTCTGCCTCTGAGGGAGGTGATTTAGCCTTTGGTTGGTTTGGTGGGGTTTTTTTCCTTACTTTTACTTGCATCTTTCAGGTTACCAATTGTAATCCAAGCTCAAGAGGACGGTCAGCCTTAGTGCTAAATTTCTGGATGAAATTTTATTGTTGGGTTGTTCTTTGGCATGGTTTCTTGTTTTGGAGTTTTGTTGTTCTGGTTTTGGTGTTGTTTTTTTTTTTTTATTTTTATTTTTTTTTTTACTAAAGACTCAGCATCTGAAGATTTTTCCAAAATTCTAACTCTTACTGCTTTTTTTTTTTTTCCTCATTGACAGTTAAAGGCTGTTGAGGGTAATTCATTTAAGTTATGCCTGTGGTTAGAAAATTAATTTACTGGGGGAAGCTCCAATTCCTTGAACCAATGGAGCAAGATATAAAGTGCACTAACAGTAGCAGCTGGATGCAAGGGTGGAAGGCTTTGAGCAAGACCTTTACACTAAGCACTAGCACCTCACTTAGCTTTTCCTAGAGTAGTAGGTTTTTTAACTAAAATGAAATTACTCCTGTAGATGTGTGATATATTCATTAATCACACTTGTGATCCATTTGTCTTTAGGAAAGGATTCAAGCTCTGGAGACAGAATTGCAAGCTGTTAGCAGCAGTAAGTTGATGCTGGAAAAAGAGCTGCAAGAAGTGATTTCACTTACCAGCCAGGAGCTTGAAGAATACAGAGAGAAAGTGCTGGAACTTGAAGATGAGGTGATTGAATTTGCATGGTGGATGGGAAGGTGACAGGAAAAAGTGCCTGAAAGGCAGGGAGAAATTTTAGTACCATAATTCTATTCCAACATTGTAGGAAATCAGAATCTTACATAGGAAACTTGGTGTCAGTGACATTTACTAATTTTGTTGCCCCGTGCTGGTTCTTCATGGTTTTATGAGTCATCGTCATGTAAGGGAAAAGAAGAAGAGAGAGAAAAGTAGTTCCTGTATCAGATACCAGCTGTATCTGGTCATGAGATGGAGAGGATTCATGAATCATTATCTTTTGAAACTATCTGGAGTCATGGATGCTCAATGATTTTGAGGGCAGGGTGGTGGTGTTTAGTTGCACAAAAAAATTGCATGTATCAGCTACTCATGATCTACACCTGAACAGTACTCCTGGATTCTGCTTTCTAGCAAGCATTTTAGTCTTTCAAAAGGAAAAAATAAACTGAACTAACTTTAAAGTGTTCATTTAAAAAAAGCAAAAAAGAAAAAACAACCAAAAATAAATATATATGCTTGATTTGGTTGTTGTTTTTATTTGGCTATAGCTTCAGGAATCTAGAGGCTTCAGGAAGAAGATAAAACGCTTAGAAGAAATTAATAAGAAGTTGGCCCTTGAACTGGAGCATGAACGTGGAAAACTTACAGGTCTTAGTCAGTCCAATGCTGCTTTGCGGGAACACAATAATATCCTTGAAACAGCCCTAGCAAAAAGAGAGGCAGACTTGGTACAGCTGAACCTACAGGTATTTGTTCCTTTGATGTTACATCTTCAGAGGGGAATTAGCTCATATTTCCAATAACAGGATGTAGACATCTTCACTCATTGGATACAAAGATTGTGCATTTTCTCCAGGTCTGGGTATCCCATGTATTGTGTAACAGCAGTAATACAGGGGCTAAACGAAATCAGAAATGAGTATTTGCACTAAACAGAGACGTTTCTTTTGGGGGGGCTAGGGGGAAATCATGCTAAAAACATTTGCAATAGTGAAAGTGTGGCTCATTTAAGTTAGTTGGAACATAAACACTGTTACTTATAGATTCACTGAGATGCATGATATTTATGCCAGTAGTACCCTATTTGTGGCATATAAGCAAATGGAAATATAGGCAATGAGCTACCATTTAACCATAGCTACTTTTAAGCTTGAAGGGTACCATAAGGCAAGTGCTATCAGCAAACAGCAGAGAGGAGTTCTGCAGTCCCTGCATTGGTTTGTGTTTCTATTTCCTGTGCTGGCATTTCTGGTCTTCCAGTGAGCCCACACAAAATATGTGTGTGTTTTTGTGATGTGATACAGGTTCAGGCTGTCTTAAAGCGGAAAGAGGAAGAGGATCAGCAAATGCAACGGCTTATTCAAGCTTTGCAGGCTTCCTTAGAGAAAGAAAAGTTAAAAGTTAAAGATCTTAAGAAGCAGGTAATGTCTTTTATTTTCTTAAAAGATGGTTTAATGTATTCAGAAAGTATCTCGAAACAAAATACATGCTTTATGACATACTGCTTTCTGCAGGGTCTCCCTCATGATAGCCAGTGGCTGATGTCTTTTCTGTTATGCCCTATGTTAAGCACACTCACTGACTATCAGGAAAGTTTCGTTATGACATGTAATGTATGGGACACATCCTGCAGTGATGGTACTTCATCCAGAAATTCACAATGAAGGAGCAGAATGCTTCTTCTGTTACACAGAGTTATTAACTGCCATTGGCATTAGTAAAGATAACAGTAATAATAAGGCTTTTTAAACAAAAAGGAAAGTATTAACAGCTGCACATCTTCCTCCTTGATTAGTTTTGTAGCCCTTTAGTCTAACTCCCTTTATGATTCACCTACAGTGATAAAGCAAAACTGCATCTCTTTTTTGTGGCAGGAAGCAGCAGCAAAAGCAGATGCAGCACATAACCGCCGTCATTACAGAGCTGCTGCGCTTGAGCTCAGTGAAATAAAGAAAGAGCTACACGCCAAAGAACTGCTTGTCCAAGCCCTTCAGGCTGAAGTGGACAAACTGCAGTAAGTAACCGTCCAAGTTCTTAGAGAATAGTAAATAAATTCTCTGAAAAGGCAGAGAAGCTCTGTAAAAACATCTTAGTGAATTTTTGGGTTTGCCACTCTGTAGTGGATTATGCTGAAATGGACCAAGGCTGAGTCTGACCATAAGTTGCATGTTTGGACGTCAAGCAAACACTTGCAGTTGTGTGTCTTCCTAATTCAGTTAGACCTGAAGTGTGCTGTGTTTGAACTTCATCATCTGCTTTTTTCAAAGTTTCAACACAGATTTCTATTTCATGTTACTAGTAAAAATTCACACTTCATATATATATATACTATTACTATTCTCTCTTTCACATCCCTGAGGGACTACATAGAGGATGAATTTGATTGTTGAATATATTCAAATTCAATTTGTTTTTTTGTATAGAAGATAATTTCTTACATTATAAGAAATTACCAAACTTATATGAGCTATTAAGCCTGTTCCTCCCTAAACAAAAGCCAAATTCCTGTCAGATTTTTTTCTGTTGTTACTACATAATCTATTGTTTGTAGCTGGACTCTTACCAGAGCTCGGGGATTGTTTTTTTTTCCACTATTTCATGATATATTCGTGCACCTGTCTTATATAAAACCTTTTTGTGATTTAACTCTTGCTGCGAATGTGTTGGCAAAGCCTTCATTCAAAGCTATAACCAGGTTTCACGCACTGTCATGTCATTTATAGTTACATAGCTAACCCAGTGAAGTACATGTTTTAAAGGACAAATTGAATAACAACTGTGTCTGTTAATCCTACTGCACAGGGTAGAGGATAAAAAACATTCCCAGGAGGTATCACAGTTTCAGGAAGAGCTGGCAGAAGCCAGGTCTCAGCTCCAACTTCTGCAGAAGCAGCTGGATGACAAGCTTAGTGAACAGCCTGTAGTAAGCCAAGAGGTAAAGCCTGCATATTTACTGGGTTTATCCTTCTTTATGATGTACTGTATAACTTCACTTGTCTTTAACTCTGCATATTTTAATGAAGTTTTGCTAGGTTTTCTTAGAACCTGTCATGGTTCATGAGACATAATAATACATTTCAGATTTTGTGGTTGATTGCACCCAAAGATGCTGGTTTATTTTGTTTTGTGTTTTCCTCTTTCCTGCCCTTCCCCCCCACCCCCCGGTAGGTGGAAGACCTCAAGTGGGAAGTAGAACAAAAAGAAAGAGAAATTGAAACACTTAAGCAGCAGTTGGATATGAGTGAACAGCGCAGCCACAAAGAGTTAGAAGGGATACAAGTTGCCTTGCAGGTAATCTTGGTGGAGATTCTGATGCTTAACTGGTATTGCTGTAGGAGGACAATTAAAATAATATTTTTGTTTAAAAGCATTCTATACTGATACTTTTCTGATACTTCTTTTGATAAATATTTATTCAGAAGAACTTAATCACTGTATGTTTTGCTGTCTTTATTCTTCTCAGTTTTACTTTGACTGTGCTGTTAGCTTCTGGCTGGACTTGATGAATCAACCAACCTAGTTGATTCTGTGGTTCTTCTTTCCTTGACCTTATGCTTAAAAAACAGTCTGCTGGCTTTTTTTTAAATCTAACTTCTGGTTTTCTGTCAGGGCAAATTGGTTTCAAATAGCAGTGTTCTGTGCTGTTCCTTTTTCTATTTTTCCCTAGAAACTGGAAAAAATAATACATATGAAAACATTGATTGACTGGAATTTTTATACCATTTCCCTGTGTCACATTGATTCTCTTCTTTTACCATTTAGAATATCAAGACTGAGTTGGAAATGGTGAGGGAAGACCTGTCAGTGACTCGGAAGGATAAGTTTATGCTGCAGGCTAAAGTGACTGAACTGAAGAACAGCATGAAGTCACTGCTGCAGCAGAACCAGCAACTGAAGCTGGACTTGAAGCATGGCAAAATGAAGAAGGTATTTAGGAAGAGTACATTTTGTAGGATACTAGAAAATACTCTGCTAATGCTCTTAAATTTAAGTACTAGAAAATACTCTGTTGCGGGAAGCCTGGTGAAAACTGAACTGAAATGCTTGCCTGTGATAGACTTCCTGATGTTCTCATATCTAAATGATAAATACATGAAGACTTGCAGGCAAAAGTAAATGTACTGATCTTGACTTCCCACCTTTTATTTCAGAAATCTTTGTGTTAGGTGTAGTATTTTACATTTACATTTAGACTTACAAAGCAAAGTAGTTACCACTTAAATAATGACTCATGGGCAAATACGGAGTTAGTATCTTCTTAGTGTTAATGCCTACCTAATGTTTATGTGCCTATCCTCTCCATACAGTCTAGTTTTGTATGCCTCCACAATTTTAGAAACTAGCTACTAGTGGTTTGAGTTTTCTGATTTGCTACTAGTACACAGAAAATCCAGTAATAGGAGCTTCCTTGCTCTTTCCCTCTCTGAAGTAATCCTCTCACATATTGAGACAGAATTTTGTATGGAGCCTCCATTTCATTCGTTTAGACACTGGTTCTGATACCTTATTCTGCAGGTTCCAGAATTTCCAAAAGGATTAATTAAATTGTACTTAACTGATTTTTTAATTATTTTTTTTAATTCTCTTAGCTCTACTGATAGAATGTTATTAAAATAGTTGTGAAGATCCAAGGCATTAACTTTAAAATCTTCCTGGTTTTATATCTTTAGTAGTTCTTGAGTAGGTCCTTCTAAATGCTGTTTGTTTACTTAGGAGCATGGCTAGCAGATGACATCAGTTAGGAACTTTTGCTTGAGACCCATGAGACTTAACATGAATGTGCTTCTGATTTCTGCTTTGTAAGGCATATATGTACCACTAGTGTGATGTGAGACTCTTCATCATGGTAAAAATGACACGGATGAAATAACATGTTTGTATTTTGGGCTGTTCTTTTTTTTCCTTCAACCAGAAGAAGGAACTAAAAGGAGAGAATAACTCTTCAAATCCTGTGACTCCAGTCAAGATTCCTGATTGCCCAGTGCCTGCTGCCTTGCTGGAAGAACTGCTGAAACCATCGACAGCTGTGAGCAAGGAGCCTTTAAAAAATCTGAACAGCTGTCTCCGGCAATTAAAGTATGACCTGTTGTTTTCAACCATATTAAATAATCTTAAAAATGTTTCCAAGAAACCAGCTGCCAGCCTAAAGAAAAAAAGGATTTTGAATTCTTTTCCTCTTATTGGGCCTATATTTGGGACAGTAGGATGTTCTGTCGCTCTAACTGCTTGCTAATATAGTAATGAAATAGAGAAAGAACTCTTTACAGCAAACTAGGCAAAATGTCCGTCCTAAATTATACACAGCGGATCAAATTGGTTGTTCTTGCTGGTGGTGAAGATCGTGTTTCTTCACAGCATCAGAAAGGCTCCTCATGATAGTAGACAGGGAATGTGTTAATAAGAAACTTCTATAGAGGAAGTTTATTCTGCCAAAAATATGCCTTCAGATCTTCCCTTAGAAGGCTGCACATGAGATTCTGAGCAGCTTTCGGAAGATGGGGAGTTCAGGCTTATTAGGAGAACTGAACTGCTATTATCACCTCAGTTTGTTTGAGGGGCGTGAGCCTGTGATAATGTTCTGTGATCCTCTCCTATTAAGCTGGTGTCTGACTAAAGTCATAATGTGTTTACTTATTTTTCAGTGCTGCTTTCCTTATCTCTACCTCATCTGTATGCTTTCATACCTGCAAAAGTACCATGTTCATCAGGTTGCAGTCACTAAGTACCTTTACTGAGGAAACAGTGCTGCATCATCCCTGGCAATGAGTATGTGCAGCAAAGGAGCTGCTGGGTTGTTGGCCCTTAGTTTTGAACTAAGCTTATTGTATTTGTTTTGTTCTTTAACTGAAGACAGACAATTTCTAAGTTTCCTGTAGTCCTCCTTCTCTTATATACAGCTATAGCATAGATAGTCTTGGGGTAGATACCAAGACTCAGAAAAGTAATTTTGTGATTTTGCATTCAGCAGTTAGCTTTCTGCTTGTTAATTTTTGCTTTTTTGTTCTCAATACTTTTAAAAGGCAAGAAATGGACAGCCTTCAGCGTCAGATGGAGGAACACACCATTACAGTACATGAATCAATGTCTTCATGGACTCAGATTGAAGGGCAACTAATGGACTTTATTTCTACCAGTCCTGCAACTGCATCAGACCAGCAGGAGGTTCCTATTGTAGATGAAAAGAAACAGAACTGTAGTGTTAGTGACCAGGAAGCTCTGACAGTATAACCCCCTTATCAGTTGTCTTTCTTCCTATTGCTTTAAGTATGTAAACAAATCTTTATCGAAGTTATTTATTTATTTCATTTTTAAGAACGGTGTTTCAAAGTTGTGCTTTTGCCTGTAGAAGCAAAGGACATGGTTTTGGGAAACTGGTGTAACATTAACTGCAGAACATGCTATTCCAAGGGTTTGTTTCAGATCTTACCATAATAATTCTGTTACGTTGGGGGCTGCCAAGTGGTGAATCTAGCTCATTTTGGTGTTGAGAGATTCAGATGAAGGTTCAAAATGAGGTCAAGAGGAGCACCTGGTTCCAGCTCTGCATTTGTTCAATCTGAGTGAGTTTGTTAAGGAATGACTGTTAATAATGTGGTATCTGGGGTTTGTTGTTTGTTTTGCTTAAATGTGGGGTGTGGGTTTATTCCCTCCATCTTGGGTTGTATCCAAATCATAGGGAAAAATAAGTTCTGCTCATATTCAGCCATTACCAGTGGTTCAGAACTTCCTCTCTCCTCCCTCCTATAATGTCTTATTCTCGAAGCTCGGGTTATAGATACTTTTAGGTAAAGAAAAAAAGTCATTTGAAGCCATTTCTAGTTACAAAGATGACCTCTGACTTACAGCAAAAGAAAAGAAGACTGTAATGACAAGCAATGCAGAGCAGAATGTCCCTTTGACAGATCTGCCTGGGATGTTTTCTGAAGTATGAGTTTTTTCTCTTACAGTGGCAGGCCAGTAGGGAGCTTTGCTTCACTGCACAAACACTTCTTGCACCTTTTTAGTTCAACTTTTGAAGTAGACACCCTTGAAACAAGGTATGTGTGTAAAAATATATATATATAATAAGAAATCATAATTTTTTGACTCTGAATATCTGTTCTAATATGCTTATATACTGTAAGATAAGGCCGACATGAGGGGGTTTTGTTACCTGTCATTTGTTTATTGTTACATTTAAGTTTGCTGGGTTTTGACATACTGTACCAGTGGCTTAGGGAAATTAGCCCCTAAAGCCAGAGCTTTTGGAAATGTAATTATTTTTACTTGAAAAGACAAAATTATAATGCCTATAAAATTATTATTTTTATTAGCTTATCTTCTCCCACACACTTTCCCTGCTTACTGCACCCTCTATTACAAAGTGACCATCATGAATGGAAACATTGGTACTGTGGTAGCCCCTCTGCAGAGCACCTTGACACTTGATTGTTATGAAAGCAGCCCACTTTAGATTCCTTTGCCTTTGGTCCCATTGCTCCCTGTGACTCCTAGTGCAGCAATGAGCCTGTCCTCTCCTTCAAAGATTCTGTGTGGAGTGGGACTTTCAGAAATTCCATCAGTTCTATCCAGTATAGTTTGGATTAAAAAAAAGAAAACAACGGTCTACTATGTATACAAGTAGATTAAGGGGCTGGTGGAGGGAATTCTGGTTTGTGTTATTTTTCCAAAGAGATTGTTGCTGCTTTTAGATGGGTTTGGTTGCTGAGGGGGGATGATTGTAGTTTGCTTAGCAGTAAGGCAAAAAATAAGCAAACAAAACCCCCAATCCCACCCATATTTAATCAGACCTGTAAGTCTGATTTCTTGTAACTACAAATTCAAGCTCCAGTCCAGTTGAAGGCTTTGCACTCAGAAGTGTCTGTATGGACTGACTTCATGCCCCTCAGCTATTTCAACTTATGTTTTGTTGGGATCAAAGTCAAATGATGCTAGAAGTCGAGGTTTTGAATTTGGTGAGGGAAGAAATGCATTGGCATGGCATTAAGTGTATGTCAGACAGAATTACAAACAGTTCAAAGAAAAGTCGAAAGTTTTACAGACTAGCTTAGATATATGTTAATGTCTGCATACTGCTGCAGTCTGTTTTGCAGAGTATATGGTACTGATTATCTCACTGCTGTCATGTTCTGAAAGTTGCCTGTGTATTAAGCTTAAAGAATAAAAAAACCCCAGCGCAGTATTGTTACAAGACAAAGTTAAAAATATGTAATGAATAATATATTCAGCATAAAAAAAGTTTTCAAACGTTCAGGATTTTAAATAAACTTAACTCATATTCAGCATTAATTTTGCTGTTCATTTTAGTGAATACACTGCCTACAGTTAAGAATCCATTATATTTTAATCTCTGAAATTTGGTAACACTTGTATGGACAAATTTTTTATCTGGTATCAAAGAAGCCAGAATTGTTAGAAACCTTCATAGTTCTTCAGAATGTCTACTCTACTCTCCTTGTTGTATAAATCATACTGCATTCTGTTTTCAGTGCAGTGCTGCATTTTCTCATTAGATCCGTAAAGACATCTGAGCTTACACAATCAAATAGCCTTAGGTGCTGTGTGTTTTCCTGTTGAAGATGGAGCAGTTGTGAAGTGCTCAGGTTACCTTTCCACATTGACCCACCTGTCTCTCTCTGAAAATACTTGGACATGAGGTATTTTTGGTTTATATCACCTTGTGTTTTTTCTGCAAACAGAAGCACCATGCTATTTACTTAAATGAAGGACAGATGGTGAGACTTGAGAGTCTAAATGTAGTGAGGTACCAAGTCAAATAAGTTACAGAAGTCACAGGGAAACCTTCTAGAAGGAGCACACAGAATGTGATAAAAGCAAGGTCTTTTATTTGAAGCTCATAAACTGTTTTTTAATTATCATGGGAAGTAGTTGCTGTTTTATTAAAAAGCCTCACTCTGAGGCTGAGCCTGCTCAGGTTACAGAGCTTCAGGTCTCTGCTGTCTAGGCAGTAAGCTTAAACTAATTGTAGGAATGAAAACGGCCTCCCCTCTGCCTGTCACAGCACTGCCAGATCGGAGGAAAATCTGAACCATACTCTCTTAACACTCCCTTCTTTTCCCTTTGCAAGCACTGCAATAGAATGTATTTTGTTTCTTCAGTGGTTGCTACCTACTAAACCAAGTCTTGGTGAAGGAGAAATGTCACTGCAGTGTGAGAGTGTTTCCTAAGTGATGAAAGTAGGTAAATGCTGCGGCATTAATTCTTCAGATACTGCTGGGGCTTGGGGACTCTTGAATAATTTTGCATTTAAAAACCCAAACCAAACAAACCCAAAACATTGCAAAAAAAAAACCAGCAAACTGTACAATGGAAAAAAAACATGTTAGAGTCTCTGGTGTTGCTGAATGCTCCATTCTGTTGTCTTCCAGATTTCTTGGAAGTACTTGTGCGCTGTATTGGGGTCAACACCTACTCATGCAATGGGGGGATCCCCTACTGTTTATTCAGGCAATACCCTAACTGAAATCTATGAGAATCTCACATGTGTAAGGAGTAGAGTAACATCCAGAATAGAAGTTCTGGTGCTTGCATTTTCATGGATTACATATTCCTCCATAGGGGAGTGAACTGCGGTGGCATGGATGTTTTAATGTTAGCTGTGACAACGTGAAAGGTGCACTGGGGACAGATACTATTATCAGTATAAATTTAACTTAAAGATGACACATTCACTACAGGTGATGCAAAAGCTCATGATGTATGTTTTATTGACTTTGCCAGGGAAGTGTGAATAGTTGCATGTGACTTGCTGTGACCAGAGCCTTTAATTATTTTCATGTGAAAGCAATTACTAGTCCAAAGTAATTACTACTGCTCGTCAGCTGTCATCTGATCACTCTTGTCTCCTATACTATTGTGTAACACCAGTCTTGGGCAGTAGGGCAGCCTAATTTCCAATACAGATGCACAGATTTCTAGGGGAGGGAAAGATATTCTGGATATTGTAAATGAAATACTGTTATGTTTTATACATGACAGTGATGTCTGCTTAAGCTGTATTTGTAAAGATAGAAGTTAATAATTTCATGTTCTTGAGTGGGTAACCCAGGGGATGGAGGAGTTACACTATGTACAATTGATATTTATGATCATACAAAGCATGTTGATTGTAAAAATAATGTGCATAGGCATTCCTTTAAAAGTTTTGTGCAATAAACTATTTTTGGTAAAGGGCTCCATGTTGTTTCTACTTTTAAAAAGAAAGTGATGCCATCTTTTGGGGTTTGGACAGTAGTTTTTATGTTCAGCTTTCTGAACATGGTGTGTAGTCTTTCAAAATAAGGTGGGTTTTTTTTCTTAAAGGTGGTTACGTTATTGCAGATTGATTTTTCACACGCCTACAAACAGGTTGTGCTTGTATTTCCATTACATTTACTTTTTCCTCCATTTGCTGAGCGTGTCATGAAAGATACAATGAGTGGATCTCTTGGCCTGCATTTGCCAACGTGCACTTTGCATCTACACAGTGAAATGATGAAGAAATCATCATGAGTCTACTAGCCAACTGCAGTGATGAAGAGAGACATGACTGTACCTTGCTTATACTATTAGCATGAGTTAAATGGATGTTGTCACCTTCTTGAAGGCCTGCCATTTTGTCTCACCATTTAAACCAGTAACTGTGCTACATCTTATGGTACTAGTAGCTGTACCCATAAGGTAGGTGTAATATCACTAACAGGCTGACTAGGTTAGGTCGGTGGAGGGACTTGTTTCCTTTCTCTCCTTCAGTTTTCCACCTCTGCCACATGCTCCACGCATACTGCAGCAGGGTGAGGCTAACGGTTAAAACTGAGCTTTCCTTTTTCAACTTAGTTGTGTCTCCTCACGCCGAGGCTCCTGGAGGCAGCAAGCTGCGTCCGTAGGACTACGTGTAGTCCTAGGTCTTTGAAAGCAGCCCCCCGTGCTGCTGCGGTGCGCAGCTCCGTCCTGCGCTCTGCTGAGCAACCAGCTGTTCGGTGACCGCAGGTTCCTGGGGCTTCTCCTTCGCTGCCCTCGCTGCCGGATAGGTAGCACCAGCCCCACAGCTGCTTCCCCCGACAGCTCACATCCGGGAACAACCGCCGAGAAGAAAACGCGGCCGTTTTAACCGTAAGTCGTGAGGCGGTGGCAACCCCTAGCCGAGAGCTGCAGGGCCGCCCTAAGCCGCAGGGCCCGTGGCAGCCGGTGCGATGGCGGGGCCGTGGGCCAACCGCCTCCCCCGAAGCAAGGCTCGCTCCTCCGCGGCAGGCGCCCCTCACGGCTGTTCGCTGGCCCCGGCTCCGGCAGAGGCGCCACCTTCCCGTCAGGCCCCGCGGCACGGCGGGCCGCCGGAGCGCTGTCTGTCAGGCAGCGGGCAGGGCAGGCCGGCGTCTGCGGGGCGGGGCGCGGCGAGGAGAGGCGGAAGCCGGGAGGCCGCTGAGGTACCGTCCCCGACGGGCTGCAGGCTGTGTCTGCGTGCGGCGGGGCGCGGGCCGGGGAATGGAGCGGTGGGTCGGGGCCGCCGCGGGCTGGGGCTCCCTGTGGGGAACCGGCTGGGGCCGCTGGCCGTGCTGGGAGTTCTTGGCCGCTTGCGCGGTCATCGGTGCCGTGGGCTGGCTGCTGCGGCTGCTGGAGAGGAGGCCGGGCGGCCGCGGGGCGCCGGCGGCGGCCATCTCCTCCGCGGTCCCTCTCTCCTCCGCGGCGCCGCTCTCTGCGCGGAGCCGGCGCTGCAGTGGGAGCCGCCCAGGTGAGAGACTCAGGGAGCTCGGCGGGGGGTGGCGCTGCCTCTCGCTCCGCGGGGAGCCGGCGGGGCCGTGGGCACCGCCCGGGCAGGCCTGCGGCCGCTCGGCCTCGGCGGGCCTTTCCTGCGGGCGCAGCTCAGGGCGCTCGACTGCGGCCGCGGCCCCGCCGCCCGCTCCCTCTTTGTCACGCTCGGATCCCGGCCGCGTCTCCGGCCGCCTCACGGCGACGGGGTCTCTGTCCGCACCGCCCTGCTCCCGATTCCTGCTCTTGCGCGGTGCTCCCAAACCTCTCCCGCGTCGAGCTTGCCGTCCCTTGCTGGGGATAGAAATAGATGTTGGTTTTTCGCTCCTGAGAAGTCGTCTGGACCGCCCCGGCTGCTGCTTGTCCTTCTGGTTGTGGCTTTCCCGTAGTTTATTCCAAGTTTGTTTTGCAGTTCTTCTGCCACGTAGCTCTTAACTGTTGGTTAATTTGGCAGTAGGCAGGATAGACAAGTACCTGACTGCCCGGTCACAATTATTCTGCCATGTGCAGATCCTAGCAGTATAAATATAGCCAGGGACAGGCTCTGGGTCTGCTGTAATTCCTCTGTCAAAAAGAAAAAGCCACCTTGTTTTCTTACATTGCTCGTTTATTGCAGGATTTAATAAGTGGTGGAATAAAACAATATTGCCACCTTAAACATCAGTCGTTCATCCTCACTTGGGGAAATTTCTGGGGGAAGCATTTTGCTGTTTCATACTTGATGGAGTCGGACAAGGGGAATACATTTCTTACTCAGTCTTCCGATTTTGTTTGGTTTGGAAGAAGGTTTGAACATGTGGTTGTTGTTGCAGTAGTGTATTTCTGAGGTTGCAAGTCATGCCGTTTGTTTTGGACAGATCAGAATAGGTGATGTGGTTAAAAGCTTATTGAAGAGAATTCTTTGTGCTGACAGGAAAATCTTAAACCAAAGATTGATTTCTTTACTGTTGGTCTGCTTTGTCATTTTCCTTGTTGATTTAGTTGTGCCTGAGTTGAAATGGGTGCATGAAATAAACGCTTTTTCATACCTAGAATACTTTCTTACATGGATGAGGAAGAAAATTGTGGGTGCTAAGTTCTATCAAAACATAAGACACCAGAGAAGTCATTCCTTCCTGACATTTACTTAACCATAAGCCAAGAGGAAAGATTATGCCTGTGCCTGCATACCCCGTGTGCGTGAATTACACATATGTGAGGGTCTGCTTTTCTGCAGGTTGATTGTGCTGGTTCTGGACCTTAGAAGTAGGAGCATTTCTAAGTCAATTATTTAAGGTGTTACTTTATGCTGACTCTCTTAAATGTTTGAGCTGTTTCTCCAGTAATTTTTCTGGCCTCTTTAAGTTTTCATCTTTACTGTCCTTTTCCAGTTACACAGTCTCAATCCTTAGCATAGCAACTGGCCTTAGGGTTACATTTTATCTCTTGATTAAAGCATAATGGCACCACATTTATTTAAAAAAAATAAAAAATAGAGGATTAAGAACAAAAAAAGCAAGAAGATCTTTCATATCTGTCTTTACAGTGGGCAAGTCAGATA